ACAATTTCACTAAATGTACTGATATAATTTTTCCACATTTGAGAGGCGACAAAAATAAAAGAAAAAGAACAATGCAAGAGCTTGATAAAGACAGAATTTTAATGATGTTGCCACATAAAACATATTTCATAGGCTACAAAGTAATGCAAATCAAAACGAAAGCCAAAATGAAGCAGTATCATAATGAAAAGTACAAGAATAACATTTAGTATGTTGACGTAAACTAACAAGTGAAAACATCTTTAAGAAATTATATACGAGGTAATCTCTATAGATAAGCTTTCAATAGTGAATATTCTAAGAACCACAGCTTATAATTTTACCCTAAAGTACGAATAAGTATAGTTTTCGAAAAGACATATCTTTAGGCTATTGAGAGGGTATCATAACCACCTCATAGACACGTTTGCTCATCCTGAATAATTGAAGATTTTAAATTTAGTTTATGCGGTAAACGCGTCTTTCGGGTTGACCAAGAGGATTATGGAAGAAAGACATAGCAAAGTGATATACAAGGTAACTTTCAAGATTAGTAGATTTTGTTCCTGAAGTTCTAAGTTTCATATTCTCCTTTGATACTACAGGATTTGTCTATATGGGATACCAGGTTCCGCGAAAACCTCAAACAGGCTACTGATTTCCTGACAATGGCTTGTCGAAGTGAATAATATGTACTTACGGACACTATCATTCCATAAGCAGCAAAAGTTGCAGAAATGGTGGAAAACAAGCAGTTCATCGAATGGCTTGTGGCAGAAAAGTTTGACCTCGCCTTCGCTCATATGTATGATGTCTGTCCGATAGGTTTGATTCATTACGCAAAAATTCCTTCATGGATTTGGCTCAACAGGTATCATTCCTTTTCAAGAAGCAGAGAGACATATACAGCAAATTATGCAAAGTTTGGAAAACCCCTGTATTTATGCATTTTCACAGGTTTCCGAAGTTCTGAGGCAAATATATAGATGAAGCAGATAAGGACAACATTACCCTTATAGATCATCCCTCATGGGCATGAGCTTGCACAATTGAGACAGTTTTGATGCGCATTGTATCAGTCCACAATTTGGTCATTTTTCATTTTAACTTTTTACCAGTATTTCATATGATCGAGCAATAATTATTGGCATTGGTGTTCTGGAAAGAGTAAAGCACGCTCTATTACTATGCAAGATGATGACTTTTAAAAAAGAGTATCTTTTGCGGTTTT